AATCGCTCAGAAATGCTTGCTGTTGCGCTGAACGAAGCTCCGGTGCCATTATATGATCGTCGTAATATTGCCAAACCATTTTTGGTTTTAGAACCAGGTAAATCCACCTGTAACAGTTTTACAAACTAATAGGGATTAAAAATGTTTAAGATTCGCTGAAAATACTGTTTTCGGCCAGCAGGTTAAATTAACCAAAAAGTAAGGGGGCAAAGAAGAATAAAGGAGAAAAAGCCAAAAAAAAGAAAAATTTTGTAAGGATAAAGAGGAACAAGCAGAATTTCATTGGGATTTTTTTTAGGACATTTGCCTATTACGGATGCCTCATCACGAAACCTATTCCGGTCATTATCGGTCACCCATGTTGGATTTAATTCGCTTGGCAATGAACTGATTGTAAATATTGGCGGTGAACAAATCTATATTTTCAATATACTTGAGCGGTAAGCCGTTTTGCTTTATCCATTTTCAGTCCATTTGATCAGCTCTTGTTTCATCATGGAGGTAGGACCGAGTGGTCGTACCTGTTGGCAGAGACCACACGCTGGTAAAACTTCAATTACTGGAAATTATAACTTCCACGTGAATTGCTGTTATTTCGTCGTGAAAGTAAACCGAGTGGTCGCACCTGTTGGCAGAGACCACACGCTGGTAAAGCTTCATGTGTAGGAAATAATAACTTCCACGCGAATTGCTGTTATTTCATCGTGAAAGTAAACCGAGTGGTCGCACCTGTTGGCAGAGACCACACGCTGGTAAGGCTTCAATTGCTAGAAATTATAACTTTCACGCGAAATTGTAACTTCGTTTTTTTATTCGTTTTTTGCAGAGCACATGAACCGGATGCATTGCAGTCGCTTCAAAGTCTGCTAGCTAATCCTATCAAGAATTTGCCGGATGTTGGAGAATTCATGGGTTTTGAAAATACAACTACAGATGTTTTCAAAAAGGAACGTGAACGTGCAAAAATACATTTCAACAATAATGAATTTACGGATGCAATTAATACATACAGCCGTGCGATCCTGAAATGTGAGAAACTGTGCGGGTTAGAAAATTTTCAATATTTATAACCTCTCAGTATTTCTTCCCCCCCCCCCCTCCTCTTCCCGTCCTTTCTTGTAACTTGAGCACTCAAAAGTAAGCCGATGGTAGCAATTAAGACGTTTCGGACCATTAAGTCATATACGTCTTAGCTCAACATCGCGACAGGACCTCGTCAGTATTACGGTTGCAGTGCTTGATGGAAAAGGAAAAGAAAAGAGGAAGAAAAAAAAAGGGAAAACGACATGGTTGTGGGGTTAGAAGTAAGAAAGGGGTGAAGTGGGAGAGGAAGAGAAAGGTGGAAGAAAAGGATTTAAGAGAGAAAGGTTCTTCATAAAAAAATTAAGTGATAACTTTTCGCAGCAGATACTGGCTGGCAAGTTTTGGAATGTTTTCTTCTTTCAACGATAGTTTAGAAGTAGACTGAGGATGTGTTCTAGTATTCTTTGATAGGGAAGTTCTAATTTTTTTCGGATTTTTTTCCAGACGTATTCCACCTCCTGGCCATAAGCATGCTATGGATCTTTGTTTATTGCTGGCAAATCGTGGCGCTTGCTATTTACGTCGTCTCTGGGATGGTGACGTATACGCTTCACTAATCGATCTGTTGCGAGCCCTGAAAATCGAACCGCGCCACAGCAAAGTGCACTATCGCATCGTAAAAGCTCTAATCGATCTGAAACAGTATAATATGGCACGAAAAATTTCAGATTTATTCAAGGTTTGCTTGAAAGTTTTGTTCTATATGACTTTCAAGCGCAAGCTTGGAAGAGGGGGACTGTGTAGCGTGTTATTTGAAAATTTGTCATCAGAACTTATTTGATTTAGATTTTTTTCTCCCATTTTTCTTCTCTCAGATTAGACATTGTTTAGCACGAGATTCAGTTGTGGTAATGGTAAGAAATGTATACGATTTAATGGACCGGAACATTTCTTGTTTTTATAATAATCTCACAAAATTTTCTAATTTTCATTACCATCTTTTCTGCTTCTTTTTATTTCATCCCTTTTTATCAAAACTTTCTCAGCTTTCTAGCCAGTGGGAAGGGTAACAGAAAGCCCCAGGTTGTGATAAGGTCCCATTGTTATTTTCGCTTAAATTTTAATTAACAAAATCGGAATTTGGGCAGTTACGAACAATTAAGTGACCTGTGGTCCTGTAATATTGAAAGCCGGAATTTTGGGGACATATTTCCTAATTTACTCCGAAAATCTTTGTTCTGGTGACGAAATGAACGTCTGGTTTGCCAACAAGAGGTTGACCATCAGGCGATGCAGCATTGGTCAGAGCAATTGGGAAAGTTTTAAACTGCGTAATGAGTGGACCAGACCGGTTGGTACTAGTACCTAAATAACGTGCTATAATATTGTTTTTCTTTCTTAAAACGTAATTCCCAGGTTATTTCTAACGTCGTTCTTTCTGCTCCTTTCTGTTTTCCTCTTTTTTCCCTTCTCTTTCAAGCATCGCGACC